GGAAAGACTTTTGTTTTTGCCAGTTCCATTTTTTAAAAGTTAACAGCTAAACTAAACCGCTGTCCTTATGCGAAAGAGATTAGCTAGTAAAGCATAGTGTGCTTTTATTCAAACGTCATTGTACAGTCTTGACTTTATATTGTGTGATAATGGATTCCCATCCTTTTTCAAATTGCTTTATTTTATTACTCTTCAGACAGTCTTTTCTGTGATCAGATAATACTTCATCAATTCTTTCCATGTCTGTAGTTTAGGGGCTTCCACTTTTTTCCAGTATTTTAAAATACATTTCTTATAGACAAGAGAAGAAAAGATGATCCATAATGCTATAGGGTATATATCTTTCTCCATATCTTGAAAAACACACAACTTAAGTAAAAATTCTGTTTTTGTTCTACAGGTACTTTATATCCCCTGTTAGATTTCATTTCATGTTTTATTCAGGTTTATACAAAACCAGAAGGACTGTATAAGTCAGAGGAGTTAGAACTTATGGGTTTTATCTTGAATGTAATATATTCTTATTTGTGTTGTGTTACTCATAGCTTTTCATTAATAATAATATTGTTTGTAAAATGCAAAATTTCTTCCATTTGATGTTGGCCTCTTTAAACGTCCCAGTCATAAAGTTTCCTAAAGATGTGACAATGACTTCGACATTGACCAAGATTTTTTTTTTACACCTCTAAGGAGTTAACTGCTTACAAATGGACAATAGTGGAGATTTCTTCTTATATGCCACAGCTAACTGACAAGAGGTAGAGAACAAGCACCAAAGGAAATAAATTTTCTCTTACAGGAATTGTGTTCAGTGATGTTTGCCAGTGGAAAAACGTGTCACTCCTTTAAATCAGAGACAGTGCTGGTCTCAAGATGAAGCATTGAAAAGCTCAGAGGTAAAACTTTAACCCTCCTGTTATGTTGCGGGTCAAATTGACCCACGAACATAACAGGAGGGTTAATGACTCCCAGCCTTCAATGTTTTCAGCAAACTCTTGTTTTCCTATCTCTATATGAGCACAACCAGTCACCAATGTAGATTCTTGCCACCTTTGAGGACATGCTAACAAGAGGGGTTGTGACTTGGTGTGATCCAGCTAAATATTAATAATGGATGGCTTTTCTATCCATATCCTAGGCTTAAGATCTTGTATAGGAATTGTGAGTTATGTGTTCCTCATCCTGTCCATCATACATTTAAAGGTCTCCCAAGTGAAGTCTTTTGAGTTATTTCTCCTGGAACCAGCTACAGATAACTTGGAGGAAATTCTCATCGTGAACACGTATGATATCACTGAGCTTGAGGCTTCTTCTTCCACTGGTACTCGGATGTGTTGCTCACTGAAGTTCCTGGCTGTGTTTGGTGAAATTACCAGCATCCTCTTCGCTGCCTTAATCAGCATCTTCCTGTGCGAGAAGCTGAGAGATGCCAACAAGAGGGCCAACCTTCCAGTTTACCTGGACAGCTTCAGGTCAGCTCTCCACATTACTGAGTCTCCCCATTTTTGTCATGAACCTGCAGGGCCCAGCAGGAAACTTCACAAGAAACAGCAGCAGCTTCCCTCCAGACTTCTTTCAGTGTAGTAAAAATTACTGTCCCATAGTCCACCACTTCTACAAATACCTGTTTATCATGATGTATAGCCTACTGCCTCTGATCATCATCACAGTCACCAGCTGCTTCATCATCAAGGTGTGGCTGAGCCAGAGGAAGACGGTGGCACATGTAGTGAGTGGGAGCGAGTCAAGCCAGTTTGGCAAGAACAGTACAGGTCTGAGGTTTCAGCGAAGCTCTGTAGCTGTACTTGCAGCTATGGGGTTGTTTGAGGTAGACAGGACTCTACCTGATCTTCCAGATGACTTTCAGTGCCACTGACTTACCTATTTGGGCTGAAATTGAGTTATTGATCTCAACTTGCTATACATTCATCAGTCCAAACATGTACAGGATAGGGAATAACCTGTTCTCTCTCAAAAACTCTAAAAAGAGGTAGATCTTTTCTTCCATCTTGTGCTTTAAAAGTGTGGTAAGCCCTTGGTTTGTAATTATGAAATATAATAAAGTAGAAACAAAACACTGTTAGTTCAGGGACAGAACACGCTGTAGAAACTTCACCTTGCTCACACCTTTTTCAGAGATTTCAGCTTTGTGTTGCAATTTTAGACTTTAATTTACATCTATGAAAATTAAAAAGATACTTTTGCACAAATTTTGTCTTTGCTATTTGCTTAACAAAATGTTTTCATGTCTGGAGATGCTCCCTTACAGCCCTCCTGTAGGGAGAAGGCAAGCAAAATCTTGTGTGGTGCAGTGTAACCTAAAATAAACACTCAAGATGTATGACTCTGACTCGCTCTGATAGATGCAAATTCACATACTGTCATATTTCTTCAGTGCTATTTTTGATACAGCAGCTGTATTTGTATACGACATTACACTGCTGAGCACAAAGCACCTCAACCTGTGTTTACAGTACAATAAGCTGTGTGAAAAAGCCATTCTGTTCCTCAAACCCTCTCACACAACAGTTAACTTGATCCCATCACCTTCCACTGTCCACTATTGCTCTCTCACTGGTTATTTTTTATTTGAGGACAGTGTCACTAAACAGGAAAATGATCATTCATTGACATCTCACTTCCTCCATTTATTTCAAACTCTGCACAGCAACGCCCTGGGCTTGAACCCAGAACCTTCTTGCTGTGAGGTGACAGAGCTAATCACTGTGACACCAAAACTTTTCTAACAATATTAAATTCAAATAATTTAAATATGTATTGATTCTGTTTCGGTATGAGTAAAGTTCAAGATAAAGCTTGTGCTTTGGTTTTGTAATATCTCTGAAAAGACTCACTGACCTCTGATGAAAGTAAAGGTTGTGCATAGGTCACATATTACTCATGGTAACCTTCTGAGTAACCCTGACTTCATGAAAAAATATAGTTAAACTTAATTAGATATGGATGATAGAAAGTTGATATAAAATATCAGTGAATATGGGGCTAAATATGCCTTTAAAATATTTATGAAAAAGAAATACATTGAATGTGTAAACATGTTTCAGTGGCATAGTCAGAGTGGCCTGTTTAGGACCTTTGCTTCCAAAAATACACTATATACCAAAGCATGAGCTAGTTTGGCTCTGATAAGCTGAGGAGAGTCTTGGCCGCATGTGAGAACCTGGTCATGATTTTGCTCTCTCTCTCTCTCTCTCTCTCTCTGCATTTTAAATGTGGCCCTTTAATGTAATGTAATATAATGTAATCCTGACAAAATGTGGACCATATTTTATATCATGTCCACAGTGTAAATTCAAAAGCAGCCCCTTATTAGCAGTAGTCTTAAAATGATGATGATAGACTAGATATTATCTCTGTTCCAGTACCAGTGTATAGCCATATTTAAGTGCTTTTATGGTAGACTTAGCCCCTTGATGCTGCTTTGTGCAGACTATGTATTGCCTTAATAAGTAACGTGTAAGTTATGATGTATGTACAAGCCGTTCAAAATCAATTCCTCACTATAAAAACTAGCCTTTTTAGTCTATATTAAAGCCAAATAGCTGCACAGGTTGCAGGAGTGTGACTCTCCCCTGCAGGATGAGGCTGCAGCGAATCATCACGCGACCTCCACGTGGAACAATAACGGGTAGGTTAATCTATTTTCCCACTTCCTAGTCCTGGTGAGACCCCGCCCTGTTGGCTTAATACCGCATTACATTCAATGTTGTAGTCATTTCCTCTTGTGTGTGTGTTTTTTTTAATAATCTGTTTAAAGTTGAATTATAAATCTATGTGAATGACAGTTCTTAATTGTTTTCATGCCACAAGTGAGAAATAAAGTACAAACGTCTCAGATAGACATTTCCTGCTCAACTGAAAATGTAATTTGTCATTAATCTACAATAATGTGGCAGATGTGATTCATGCTTTTCATATCTATTCGCAGGTTTCTTTATTTAGCCTGTCTATTGGAGCGTAGAGCTGCTATGTATTGCTCAACCCCCGTCCCTCCTTCTGAACCCAACTCTCTCAGAACCGGATATGTTCTTCCTGCCACTGGCATTTTTATTTCACTTTGTCAAAAATGTATTAATTTCTGACACATTTTGACATTGTTGCATTTTATGTCAACCTAAACAGCTGCAGTCAGTGTGTCAAAATAAAGATCTGTTAGGTTAGGTTTATTAATGTTGTAGCCAGCAGGAGCTCCATGTTGCCCATGTGATAGAACTGTCTTACCAGGGTCGCCTTAATTTGGGGTGGTGATACAGTTCTTGTAAAAAAAAAAAAAAAAAAAAAAAAAAAAACCAAAAAAAAAGACACAATTTTAAAACCCCCCTAATAATTAACAGCAGACTTTTAGTTTAACTTATTTACATAGCCTAGCATGTAGCCTAAATTTCGTTTTAAAGACATCCCTTATTAGACGTAGGCTCGACGTTGCGGCTAAGCTGCATTTAGGCCAAACGAGACTTACTATATCTGTAGGACTTGTTTTGTTTGGTGTAGCCTAAACCTACTTTGAGATACTAAATAATTAGCTAACTGCAGCCCGGTATATAGCACCAACTTAGTGTGCAACAAAACTGTGACGAATCAGACATGGCGAAAGAATAACGTAAATGTATAATTAGCTGTTTTATTTTATTATATTGCATTAGTTTCAGTTGAGTAAATATTCCTTTTTAACCGCGACACCTGGTCGCCATCTTATCACAGAAACAAAGCCAACCAGTCAGCATTTTACAGAGTACATTTTAGCAGTTGTAGAAAAAGTAAATAGGAAATGGGGTGAATGGATTTATTCTGTACAGGCTGATTGTGAGGGGTTTAATTGCGCTGATTATTCCACGTAGCAAAATAACATTTATCTGGAATATATATATGGACTGACACCATTGTGATACCACTGGTCGTTGAAATCCTCCGGAGGGAGCTTGCGCATTGGCTACTGGAGCTCTACCGCCATGGTGAATGAGTTACGTCACAGCCCGAGATCACGGATGTGTGTGTATGTGTGTGTGAGAGAGGGGGCAGAGAGGAGAGTGTGTGTTTGTGCTTCACGCAGGGTGAGAATGGAAGTGTGATCGAAAAGGTAGAAGATGTAAAAGGAAATACATCGGAAGGAACTGAAAGTCTCAGGTGTCTGCTCTCAGCTCAGCAGCAGAAACATTTTCGCGCAAACTTGCTGAGAGTTGTCCTTACCGGCGCGGGGGCTGAGCTCGAGGTGGGAAAAAGCGGAAAAAAGAAAAGAAATCATCGGGATGGTGGACTCCCGCTTCCCTCGCTCTGGCGGCCCGAGAATCACGCGCCACTGAAGGGGGTTGATATTGTGCATGCGCTTTGGCTCCACTGCATGCACGCTCGGGTCAGTCGATGCGAGCACACTGGCGTGGCTCTCGGCCTCCATTTGCCAGTTTGTGTTTATGTTCGAGGGATTCACCGAGGCCCATTTAGCGGTGACGACGACGTGCGACAGTTGGACTTTCACCGTGAAGGTTATTATTCTATTGCTCCCTTAGGCCCCGGGATATTCAACCGACGGTGGAAGGTGAGGCTTTAGTGAAACGTGCAACTTTTCCAACTTGGTGAGTGGTGAGGCGGGCGGCCTTCCTCTCAGCGGTGTGAGAAGAGGAACGAGCTGGTGTCAAACTACTTAAATTCATAGCGTGGCGTAGGAAAAATAGTTAGATGCAAAATAGTTGGGAGTTTATGTTGTAAACATACCAGCAATAATTCATTTGGTGCACTCGTTGAGCCGATTAACACCTTTACAGCATCTGTGTGACTGTTGACCGTTGGGGGGGGGGGCATACAAAAAAAAAGGTTAGCTTGTGCTCTGTTGTCGGCGGAGATGGTTTTATTTGGGCTGCAAAGGTGAACGCAACAATGTCCGGTTTGAGTATTTTTACATATACTTTAAACAAGAGTCTGATCGTGCGTTTCAGCCGTGTCTCTAACTGGGTGTCATACACGGAGGCTAATGGCCAATCTCTGAAAGTGGTGGTGCAGCCCAATTCATGAAGTGCCCCTTTCTCAGGCTGCCACAAGAACAGATTAAACTTTAAAATACTCTGATTTAAGTCCTTTGTGCAGTTGATGACAGTGTATGTGGTATTAAGTCTCATATGTAACGATGATTTTTTTTAAAGGACGCAAACCAACGGCGGCTCCAGGGGCTTCGCCGTTGGTTTTAGATCTTCAGTTATAATTGAACATCTGTTTTTTGTGTGTGTGTGTGTGTGTGTGTGTTGGAAGTTATGGTATGTGAAATCATCGGAACTCATCCTATTTCACAACATATTAAGCTTCCTCAACTCCTTTAGTAAGCCCAGTGACAAAGCAGGCTGTTTATGTCTTGTCATGTTAGATGCAGTTTATAAATGCTTTCAGACCCTTTACACAGTAGAGCAAGTCATCACCGACTCTTCAAACGACTTAAGGTTGTAAATAAATGATAATTTCTCCACGAATAGCCAATTTATTTTTCATGAGGGCGTGGCCTATTTTTAAATGGCTCTGCAATGGATTGATTCCTAAACACTATGCTGTTCTGTGACTCATGTCCACTCATGTCTCTGTGCAGTGGTTTTACATATATGTTCATCTAAATGGATATGAAGATCTCTAATTGTTTACATTTCTTGCTGCATCTTTTACGTCTTTTCTGACTAATCCTGACTTAAATTTTTATTCTGTCTGATTACTCGTATTTAGACAGCTGTTGCTGTAATGTATGCTGTGCATTTGAACATTGCACTACTGTATAAATAATAATATTGTTATAATTATATCATTTTTCTGTCAGGTATGAAATGAGCTGGGACAACGACAGTCATTGGTCATGCCTGCTGTGGACTCTGAGCTCACATCCATGGATGACCACCAAGCAGTGGAGGATACAAAGGAAAGCAGGGCTGATGGCTCTTCCTCTATTACCCTTACTGCCCTCACTTCTTCAAAGCCTCCTTTTCGAACCACTACAACACCTAATTTAACTACTGAGACAGTCATCGAAAACAAAGCTGTCTCCATGGCAAGTGCCGACTGCAGCTTGGCTCTCTCTTCACCTGCCGAAGCTAGCCCAGCCAAGCCCGCTGTAACATCACCTATGACCTTTGAAGGGACTGCTGAATCAATCCCAGCTACTTCACATATCACATCAGTGTCAGACTCCTTAACACGCACAGAGACGAGCCTTGTCAACATATCAGAACCACTACCGCTACTGTTTATGATGCCATCGATCACATTTGGCAGTCCAGACCTGGAGTATAACTTTCCTTCTGTCCTGACCTTCAAAGGTGTCAGTGTCACTCTGGAAAATAACAGTGTGTGGAAGCAGTTCTACAGCTGTGGAACTGAGATGATTCTCACTAAACCGGGGCGACGCATGTTCCCGTACTGCCGATATCGCCTGGCAGGCCTAGACCCCGAGCGGCAGTACAGTCTGGTCCTTTCTATAGTACCATCAGACCAGTACAAGTACCGCTGGAACACATCCAAATGGGAGGTCACTGGAAAGGCAGAACATCAGGCCCAGGGTTTAATCCGGGCTTTTGCCCACCATTACTCACCCTGCAGAGGCTCGGAGTGGATGAGTGGCTTAGTGTCCTTCTACAAACTCAAACTGACGAACAACCCCCAGGATCAGGACGGTCATATAGTACTACACTCCATGCATCGGTACATTCCTAGGCTACATGTGATACCTGTCCCAGACGGGGCTGTACCCACATCTGACCAGCCTGTGGTTATGGGACCAGAAAGCATTACTTTTACTTTTCCACAGACTGAATTTATGGCTGTGACGACTTATCAGAACTTTCGGATCACCCAGCTAAAAATTAATCACAACCCTTTTGCAAAAGGCTTTAGGGACGATGGGCACAACTTCCGACTGAACAGGGTCGCTTCAGAGGCTCAACCTGTGGTAAAGACAGAACCTCAGCCTTCTGTTTTAAACCCCACTGAACAGAGTGAAAGGAGAGAGGGGGTTGGGAACCTTAGGCAAGTTTTATAATGTTTCACATTTGATTTGGTAACTCTGCAGCACATTTATATTTAAATGCACTGAGATATGGCAAGTTTCTATGTGGGACTTTTGGGACCACTGCTCTCACCTAATTATAACTGGAGTAATAACTGTGCAATAACAAAGTTTTCAAAGCAACTTGGTCTTTGACTAAAAAAAACATTTCTGTGTACATTTACCCTGTTTCAGTACATTTTCAAACTCAATTCTGGCAGAAGCGACATATTTATAACAAGAACAACTTAGACATTGCACACGATACGGTCCAGTACACTGGCATTCAAACTCTCAAAGAACTGTAAGTTTTGATTACAGTATTTTGCAGAAGTTACAATTTACCTGAGTTATCACATTTTTTACAGACTCATCTAGAACTGAGAATTTTGCGAGTGCAATGAAATGTTCACATAATCAAAGGCAATGTTTACTGCAAGCCTTTTGTGTTGGATTACATTTTCTCAGGAGCTGTGTCCTGCCCCTGCAGCTTTCTGATATCATAGTTTCACTTGTCCTGTGACCCAAATTAGATTTTATTTTTTGTCCAATCTCATGATTGCAGTGTCAGGTACATTAATGGGAGGCACTCACGGTAGAAATTCAGTCATGTTAAACAAGGATAAGTACATAAGAGTCATTTAAACTGTTGGAATTAGCTCTTGTCACATGTGTCATCAGAAATTAATATATTTTAGATGAGATCATTATGAAATCATTTTCACTCTTTATGTCTTTAGTGCCCATAAACGGTATTCCTTCTTATGTGTCTTACAGCACAGAGAATCCCACTGTCTCTGCTTCTCTGTCAAATGTGCAAGAGACCAGACTGGTCCTGAAGCCTATAATGTCTACCTCTGCCAGTAAGGATGAACCATATGTCCCCTGCATAAGAGGCAAGCATGCTCTTGGTGAGCTTGTGCTTGTCCAAAAACGTCCACTTGTTGAGCCCAAGAAAGAAAACACCCCTGAGTCGCAGCAAGGCTTCAGTGTAACACCTGAAGCAATATCCATAACTCCTGCTTCTGGAGCCTCTACCCTGGGATCATCACCTGGGTACCGCAAGAGGAGGAAGAGGATCAGCAGACGCTGGGCAAATTCCCGGGGAAGAGAGTGGAAAGCTGCGGATGCCTCCCCCACCCTAGTCCGCAGTTCATCGCTGACTGTCGCTATGCAACCAGAACTGGATGATGTAGAAGGCCTGCTGTTTGTGTCATTCCCCTCAAAGGTAAAACAATAAATTACTGCTCTGCACATATCAGCATTGCTCCAAAGGGTATATTTTCATTTAACTGAGATGTGGTACCTCCTCTAGTGACCTGCCTCATGTCAAATAGATGTGTTCAATTTTCACTAACTACACGCATTGTTGAAATTGTTATTTACCATAATTATTTGGAGTGAACAGTTGTTAAAGTGCTGTGAAACATTTATGCTTTAAAGCTCTTTTGTGCTACAGGAAACTCTTGAGGTTCACATAAGGGACAAGCCAGCCAGTAGCTCATCATCACTATCTCCAGTTTCCCTCACAACTCCAGTGCAGTTGAAGCAAACAGGTAAGCAGTGCAGAGATTGTAAATGGTTTTGATGTTTGAATGTGGGAACATTTAATCTGTGTTATTCTATTCTAGTTTATTCACTAACAGCGAATCAGATGTGGTCTTTTGCAGGGTTGGAAAAGATTTTGCCCAAAATCTACACCAACTTTTTTTTTTTTTTTTTTTTTTTCCGCCTCTTTTTTTTT